ATTATTTTTGTGTTAGCTTTTGTAAAGTTATTTTTTTTTTTATTTTAATGTGAATTTTTTATAACTTTGAACTTTTTATTTATGTTTTTTTATTCTGTTTTATGTTCAACAATTTTATTGAGCTTGAGGCCGTTCTGTATGAAAAACGAGGTGAAAACACAACAACAATTTACATATAGGTGGAAGTTATACCTACTATTTCGGAGATCACCACATCTCCTCATCAGACTTCTTCAACCGCGGTCCCTGGGATATGAACCAGCGGCCTGAAGCTCAATAAAATTGTTGAATATAATTGTTATAAAGACCATAAGTAACAAAAAAAATTTGTTTTGTTTTATTTTATTATATTATTTTTATTTAATTTATTCTATTTGATCTAATTTAATTTAACTTTTATTCAATTTGATTTTGTTTCATTTTCTTGTTTTTTTATTTTATAAGTTTTTTTGTATTATTTTATTTAGTTTTATTTGTTATTTTTTCTTTTATATGGCTCTTTATATTTTTCTATTATTTTATGTTTTAATTTTTCTAAATTTTACTTACAAATGTATGTATGTAGGTACTCCTAATTGAATTGTTTTATTTCAGTTTAACCTTTTCTATTTTAGTTTATATTATTTAAATTTATTGTATTTTGTTTGCTGGGTTAGAGCTGCTTATTGTATTTTATTTGTTATTTTTTCACTTTTTTAAACTGTATATGTTTTTATTGATTTTGTGTTAGCTTTTCTAAAATATTTTTTATTTGTTGTATTTCAATTGGTTTTGTATTATTTTTAAATTTCATTCATTTATATATTTCTTGCTTTCTTTAATTCTTTAAATTTAACTTATTTTACACAATTTAGGCATTTGGTTTATTTTATGTTTATATTGCTTTTGATATTGTTATTATTGTTTTTTGTAATTTTTTTTTTTTTTTAATTGCTAACAGTTTCAAAAATTTTGACCTGTCTTTTATCTCTGCTCCAACTTTTCGTCGTCATTATTTCTACACTTTCTTTAGATCAATTTTTGTAACTTCTTAAATGTTTAATTTGTTTCAATAATTTTGGGACATCAATTATACTGAAGTTTCAGTAGTTTAATTCTTTGTTTATTTCTTTTACAAGTTTTTACCGTGCTAAATTCTATTCCCTCAAACATCTCTTAGACATGAAAACTTGGTTAATTTTCTTTGGAACAAGTGTTTGCAAGAGCTCCCCAGCAGTTTGCCACTCCAGCTGTTTTAATTGTTTTTCTGTTGTTGCTCTTGTTAGCTTAAGCAATTGTTTTTCAAATGTCGTCTGCTGCCAGTCGGATGAACAGAAAAAACAACAACAATTAAGACAACGAACGAGCAAGTAAGTAAGCAACTGGCAGTTGAACGCAAAATTTCGAGAATTTGTCCAACAAGTTGTGTTTGGGCGCAGACAGGCGCATGAGTTTGATAATGTTTTTTTTTTTTTGGGCACGCGTGTGCATGTGTGCGTGTGCGTTTGCTTCTATGGCGATGTGCGTTGGTGACACGAATATTGTCTGGCATGTCTGTTATCGCTTTCAGGAATTGTTGTTTTGCTTATGCAGCTCATCGGATGGAGCTCATTCCGTTCTCGGTGCTACTACACCAGCAGCTGTTGCTGCTGCTACTTGTTTTGCACTTTTATCTGAACGAACGATTTTAAATTGAAATTTATGATTTAATACAATTATGAAAATTTTATCATCAACTGCAGAAGTTTGCAGGCGTAGGAGAGAGAGGGAGAGAGATAAGGTTTTGTAGCAAAGGAAAATGTTTGCGTTGCAGACGCTTAGACTCAAAACCAGCCTGGGGTGCCTAAGCTCTTAACACTAAATTAGATTTCACTTCAAAAGCATAGATTTCTTTTGCATTTGGAGCATTTTGCTTTCAATTTCATGGGCTCGTAGTTGTTGTGTTGTCGCAATTAATGAAAGTTTTGAACACTTTGGCGCAAGTTTTTCGAAAATAATTCAATTATGGTAATAACATTGTGTAATCTATTGACTTTTTACTGTAACTGTTGTTCGATAACTGTGCTGCAGGTGTTACCTTGTTTTTAACTTAGCGAACTCGCTAGAAAATTTAGCTTTGGAGTTTCTGAATTCATTAATAATTCCATGCTTGTAAAGCGAAAAGTTAAATAGCGATACTTAGCTGTTTATGTGCGTGCCACGTGGAGTGTGATGACTAAAATAAAATGACTCTTACGCTTCGTTGCGCAAAGAGATGCCACATTATTCAGTCCCGCTCGCTATGTCCTTTTTAGCTTAACCTTAATGGATGCACATTTTATATACTCTACATGCGCGCATGAAATGCATTTTATATGTTGTTGTTATTCTGGCATGCCGGAACACGTTTATACAGAACGTTATGGGTAGGTAACAAAAGTTGCTGTTCTTTTCTTTTATTTTCTATACAAAGGAGAAGAAGAAAAATGTTGAAAGAATAGCAAGAAAAAAATGCATATCATAATGTGAGCAATATCGGCGGATTCCTGGCTAAAAATTCAGCATGCAATCCACGCCGGCAACAATGTGCACTTTTATGCTTAACGTCATGTAGCCGTACATGTAATGCCTGCCTGCACACACACTCGAACACGTATCAGAGTAGCACATAAATAGCACAAACATGAAGAAGGGCTGCTACACGTTAAGCAGGTATACTCATATCGTCAGCAAATACAGCTTCAGCAAAAGCTACAATACCTCCGCTATGCGGTCGCCAAAGCGCACAAATGCTTGTTGATAACATGCTCATATACTCACAAATATGTACGTACGAGTATGCACATTCATATGTATCTACACCTTCTTGTGCATTTCACATTTGTTGTTGCAACATAATGTGAAAATATTTGTTGCAGCAGCAAGCCAAGTAACTACTAGGCGGCGAAGTATGGTGTTCGTTTATGTGCCCACATTATCAAGTATTCCTTATTGTGCAATGAGAATGAAATTGCAACAGCAACAAAAAATTGCAACGCCAACAACAAATGCATTCTACAATGCTCTTTAAGGGGCTTTGAGCTCCATTGTATGCGTGCAATAGTGCGTCTAGGTGGGGCTGTAAAGTTTTATTGTGTTTGTTAGCATGCTTGCCAGTGCTTTATTTCACACCGTTATAACTGTAGAAGCTGATGAGAGGCTACATATGGGGTACTCCATTCAAATTCGGAAACCATATGGCTTTTGCATCTCCGTTTTTTTCATATATTTTTTTGTTTATATATAGTGCAAATCGAGAGAGTCCTTCCTGATTTTTTGTTTTTTATATTTGTTTTGTCTAGCCCTTTTCGAGATATAAAAAAAAAACGATTATTTTTTAAATGCCCTTAACCTTGCGAAAATTGGGCCGATTGCGGCCATATTTCTTTGAAATTTTTTATTTTCAAAACAATTTTGGAAAACGAAATTGAAAAAAATTCAAATCGTATTTCTATAAATATTCCAAACAATTAAAAAATTTTTAATATGAAGTGTTGAGATCCAAAAAACACGTTCTGATCGTTTCTTTTTAAATGATTTCTCACTTATTCCGCAATTTTTAAGCATAAAAAAGTTCAATAAAAGCTATCAATACGTTGTTTTTTGGAAATCAACACCATTATAGATTAATTATTAGAGCAACAGAAGCCAAATCAACAATTCATGGAATTTTTAATCCTATTTAATTGATAAGATAAATTGAATATTTTAATATTGGTATCAGATTGAAGACGTTTTGGAAATTTTACTGCCGAAAATGTTTTTGAGGAGGGTTGCATGTATGAAAAATTTTATTCAATTAAATAGATAAAATAAATCAAATATTACAATACGGATACCAAACAGCACAAAAATACTCTTAAGATGCAGTGAAGCATGCCGTGTATGTGCTAGTTTTATAATACAAATTTTAAAACTTCATAGTTATACGGGTTGAAAAGTTGTTCGATTTTCTATTCTAAAGGTGTTTGCACATTAAAAATTTCACACAAACATACGTATCAATCTGTTAATTTTCCATAAAGTTATGGGAGTTTAAAAAAAGGGACTTTTTCCAGAAATCGACATCCCGAAAATGGCTGGACAAAAAAAAAAAATCAAAAGAATCAGGGATACCTCTCCCAGTTGGTACTTTAACATTAAAAATTATAACATAAATAAATGGAGTCCGTATTCGGTTGGAATGCCCCATGTATGTATGTAGATATATGTAAGGTAAACTCTTACTACGTAAAGTGCACATAAGCTATACATTTTATTTACGCAAGTAATTTAAGTTTCTGCGTTAAGTATCCATAACGGTAATTCTGCAATGTTTGGCCATAATTTAATTAGGTAACTTGTTTACGTGCAAATTTTTGCAGGCTATAAAACGCTATGGTGAAAGGGAAGGATTATGTAGTATGAAGTAGAGGCGTGAATGAGCATTGGGTGGGGCAGCTCGAGTCTGTGTAACTTTTACTATTTTATGACAGCCATAACAGTTAAAACTACGATAGCCGGGAGTTTAATTAAAAAGTGTTATTTTAAACTACATACCAACAGTAAGTGCAGTTGGTGGCTAATGTGGCAGCGAAAGGTCGAAAGTTATGGATCTTAAGTGGTACAATACTAGCCGCATTAACAAAAACTGTCTGCCTAGCTCATGTTCTACATGAATCCAAGGCGCTCAATACTGCCTAGCTGTCCGATGTGAGCTTCATAAGTGTCCTATTAGTCCTTGTACAAAGGATATGCCGGCCCTAGTACACCCATCAACAAGCTTGAGTCCAACAGAATACCAAATTTGCTATTTTTGCTTTTGTATTTGATTTGACTGATTTGTCTTCTTGCAGGTATTCGGAGAAAATAAATACTGCTGTGGAAATACATATATACATATATATTTTAGGACAGTACAGTACAGTTATAGGACGTACATACATATATACATATATATGAGTATATACCTTTACATAGGTTTTTTTGTTATAATACCAATCGCGGAATCACTGAGGACCAACCTTTTTTTGAGCTGAAAGAAAAAGAGAAACAAATTTCTTTATTTACTGTAGAGTACATGGTTTTAAGCAAAAAATAACTTTTTATCTACAAAAAGTATGTATGGTTGCGCAATAAGTACACTTATTGCAAGAATGAAAAAGATGCGAGAAAATCAGAAGTTATAAAAAACCAAAACGACAGGGATGACCGGATGACGCCTTATCTCAGAATTTGATTGAAGGACGCTCTATTTCAGAAGCCGTTTCCAAAACGCCCTATGTCAACATATTTTCAATATATTTCTGAGATAGAGCGTTCTTCAACCATATTTATTATGAGATTGAAAGTTTTTCTGTCAAATTCTGAGATAGGGCTTTCTTGAGCCATTTTCTGAGATAGGTCGTTATAGAACCGTCCGCCGAGATAGGCCGATCTTTCACTTAGCCGTCGAAAAAATGTACAAAGCTTTTTTTTTTGCCAAAATTGCAATTATTTTTGAAACCATAACCTGCATAATTTTGTATAAGAACTTTTTTAAGGGTATTAAATTTTCGATTGAAGTAACCTCAGGAAATTTTTTTTGAACATGCAGATAGTGACAGAAAACTAGCACTTCGCACAATTTTTTTGGAGAATAATGAACCGTATTCTTGTTTTCGTACGAATCGAAAATCAAGAAAATTTTCTTTACAAAAAATTTAAATTTTCGATTGGTCCGAAAAGGAGAATACGCCTCCATATTTGATATTACAAACAAAAAATTACAAAAATATTTTTCTGAGCTGCTAAATAGATTTGACATTTACCTAAAGAAAAAAAAGCACTTGGCGAAGTCTCTTTCACCGAGACAATGAACGTTGATGAGGGCCCAAATTGCAGGAAGTTGGCTGAGAATAGCGTATCTAGCATATTTTTCTGAGTTACTCCCCCTGCGTCTATTTATTTTTGCCAAGCTTGAAGTAGTGGATTTGGTGGTAAGAGATTTGGATCGAATGCAGAGGTCTTTACTGAAACAGAATTTGAAAAAAACGCTGTAAAACGCGTTGGTCCAATTCTGTATCGGTGAGAAAAAATTTTTTAACTAACAAATTTAAACTTTTTCGTATACTTTTCCGTAAAAATAATTTGTCACAGACACAAAATAAAGCCGTATGCTTACAAATACACTTCCTTTTTGTCAAAAAATATACTTTATAAAAAGGTTAACTCTTTAATACTTTTCTATGTTTTTTTATATACATAGCTCAACAACAAAAAAGCGCTTTGCTCAGATTTAAAATTTAATATTTGCACATTCGCAAAATGAACAAGCATATGTATATGGCTATATATGTACATATGTAGGTAAGTGCATATGTTTTTATATACATATGTATGTATGTATGCGCTCTATATCAATATGTATACATATTTACATATGAACACATGCATATAGGCATGTCCTACTATTCATCTATTCTGCTTGTGGATTTCCTTGCCTATTTTCTGCTTCGTTTTCTTTAAGTTTGAAATTTTCGCACTTGTCGTTCCCATTCTGTATGCATTGTACGTACATATTTGATTTCTTTAATACACACACCCCCTCACTCCACCCGCATCTTTCTTGAACGCCTTCCACATAATAACACCTGGCCGGTGGCATTATAATGGGATTGCTCTTTTTTACGTTGCCCATGCTACCGCTGCTGTTGATATTTTTTGCTCGATGCATCCCTTGACAGCCAGCATCTTTAGAGGAGGTAAATATGTATGTAATACACAGCTACATAAAATAAATGCACATATATGTATGTACAGGCAGCAAAAGCATATGAGCGCAACAATGTAAGTGAGCAACATTAAAGGTTCTTGCCTTTTTGCTGTTCACCAGCTCGTACACGTTTGATTACAGCAATGTCTAGCTCTAAGCATGTGTATATACATATGAACATATATATGTATATGCATGTACGCTGTGCTAGCCAAGGTGTGCATGACTAGATGGGCGTCGCAATTTGTGCCATCGGTAATTTGAAAGGCGTTCAAGCTGTTGGTTGCTCCTTTTTTACCAAACACATATACATACATACATACATACATACATACATACATACATACATATGTACGGTCTCACAAATAACTACAAAGCGTAATATAAAAGCACACTCACGCATACATACATACATACTCTTGGATACACTTGAGTATGCACTCAAAGCGTGTTGCAACTTTTTCCGCAAGCACATATTCACATGCAACTTGCAAAATCATATATGGACCACCATCGTACAGTGCACGCAGCCAGGCACAGTGAAAAGCCTCACTTTGCTTGTATGTACTTAGGCAACATTAAACAGTTTCATGCAATTTGTTTCTAGCAAATTTTTCTCATTGCAAAAATACCTACATACATACATTCATACATTTGAGTGCTTGCTTTGCCTAGCAGCGTCATACTTTGCTTGCACACATTACGTATACGCCGTGTAGGCAACCAACTTTGCACTGTAGTGCACTCTTGCTGGAGTAAAGCGGATTGAAAAGCGACAAACAAAGCAAAAAATGTCAGAAAATTCAACGAAAAAGTGTAGAAAATATCAACTTATTCGCTCTGTTTCTGATTCTATGCAGCTGTAAAGCGCAAAAGAGGGCACTCCTCACTTAGTAAAACGGCATTTAAGCGGGTTAATTAAACAAAAGTTTCTTTTAATTAGTGTTCTTAAGGTGGTGCGGCAGCATTTTGTGGTACTTCCATTTGCAATTTAGTAATTTAGTGCTCCTTTCTTAGGTTTTTTTTTTTTTCAAAATGCCTTCATTTCCACTTGCTTTTGCTACACACACAGCCAGAAGGCTTGTCTGCAGTTAAGGTGTTTGCTGAAAATAAAATGAGTGTAGATGTGAACTAACTTAGGGTCCAAACATAGTGGAGCGGCGAGCAAAGCGAAGAGCCTAGCATCGAGCAAAACTTCAATTACAAACGTGTATGCACGCTTTGCTCTTCACTATGCGCAGTCCCACTGAAAAATATGCGCTTAAAATCGACGCTTTGCTCGATGCTCTCTGCTTGCCGCTCGGGGCTAACTTTTTAAGTGGCTTGCGGGATGTACAGCCGCAGTCGTGCAGGGGAGGAGTGGGCTGTCTGGCAGCTGTCGCGAGCCATTTGCAATTATTATATTTTTGTTTTAACCCCCAAAGATTTTATTGATTCAACAAAAATCGCTTTCAAATATGAAAATAATTAATGCGATTTAAATGAAATTAAAGACTTTCATGTTTTTTTTACACATCAAAGCCATTTCAATAGCATTTATACATATCTACGTATGTGCGCATGTAGACTGGTGCTCTAGGCTAGAATTTAATAATTTTTCAATTTCAACATAATTTGTGTTTTAATAAGCTCCGTGTACCTCGTTGACATTGACATGCACACACAACAGTTTCTAAAGTCAATACATATGTAGCAGTGCGTAATTGAAACGGATGTACTTGTGTACTTGTATCTGTTTTGTTGCACACAATACTTATCCGGTTACAAATTACAACATTTTAATTTGAACAGATTTCTTTTTTGTTTATTAAAAATGCTTTTCCAATTAACAAGCATATATTTTTCATTGATGAATAAATCAGTTGATTCGTATCAAAAACTGTAACAAAAAAGTAATTAATAGCTAAATAGTTGTAAATGGAAAAATATATTGTTCTTCAAATTTAGAGATATTGTGATATACATAGGTATTTTTAATAAAATAAAATAAAACAAGTTGAAACAAGGAAAAAGACAAATAAAAATAAAAAAATTAAGTCAAAAAAGTAGATAAAAATAATGCAACAAAAATATATATATGAGAAAGTGAAAAATAAAAAAATAAGACGAATAAAAATAATATATGCAAATAAAAAAGTTAAATTTACAATTAAATCATATTGAATATAAATGAAACATAATTAAATTAAATCGGAAAAATAGTTAAAATCAGAAAAAGTAAATAACTTAAGAAAAAAAATATAAGTATGTAAAAAGAAATAAAATTAAAATGACACAAAATAAAATAAAGTTACCTATAATAAAATAAAATAAAACAAAAAGTTAAAAATAATAATAAATAAAATAAATAAGGTAAAATATACAATAAAATCTGATGAAATATAAATTACACAAAACTAATTAAAATAAAATGAAATATATTATAACTAATTTAAATATAGATTGAAAAATTTAATAATTAAATAAACCAAACAAAACTAAAGCAAAAAAATAATAAAATAAAACTTTAATAATTTATTTTTGAGCTATAGGCTGTATGTTAAATAAAACATTAAATGTTATCTTGCTGCAGTCTGAAGGCGAAATATCAAAATAAAATTAAAAAGTAAATAAAGCAGAAAAACATTTAATTTTTTATTTAGCATACGGCCTTTAGCTCAAAAATAAATTATTTAATTTTATTATACGGCCAATAACAAACACAATCATAAACTGAAAATGAAACAAATTAAAACGACATAAAATAAAGTGTAATACATATAACGAAATAAAACTACTAAAATAATAAAAAAAAAATTTATCTCAAAAAATTAAGATCAATAAAAACTAGAATGAAAAAAAAATTTAAAACTAAAAAAAAAAAATATATATATAAAATAAAGTAAACTAAAAACATAAAACAAAAAAAAAATTAACTTAAATAAAATAATGTAAAAGATGAAATAAGAAATCTAAAGTAATAAATCAAATGGAAGTAATTAAAATAAAGTAAAATAGAAATAAAAACTAAGTACAAAAATCTATATTTGGTTAAATTAATCCAGGGATTAAAAACTTAAAATCTCTGAAAAATATAATTTTTCGAGCGGAAGATACTAGCCGTAATTAAAACTTTCGCCAAAGCATTTCTCCAGCGACCAAATTAGATATGCTTGAGATTAGAATCCTAATAGCAAGGAAAGCTTCTTACAAAAGCATTTAATCTGCGATTACTACACCCATATTCAAATTAAATACTTAAGCAGTTAATATGTGGGTATAAGAAAGCTGAACTGCAAGAT